TGATTATGTGCCATCGAGTCGGTGTTAACTTTTAGTGTCCACGTAGATAAATTGTCCCTAATCTGGTCCATTAGGTTTTTCAGTGGTGTGCTCATCGTATCTGAGTCCATCCACCTTGCTGCTGGTCGTCCTCTTCTTCTCTTTCCCAGCATTATAGCTTCTCCCAAAATCACATAATAAATTTCATGCATCAAGGTTGCATTTCACTTGCAGTTCTTGATCATTTCTAGGCTTATCGTCCCCATCCTTAAGAGCATTTTTGAACCTTGAAAAAGTTTCAGAAGCAGTTTGTGTTAAGGCTTATATAGGTGATGAGATTTGTCCTTTATATAAAAAAAGCCAGACATTTTACCAACAATGCCCAGGTTCTTGGAAGCCGGGAAAATAGCTCTTTGGATCCCAGCCAGAATGTTGCTTATTTTTCTAAATACGCAGTCCTAATTATAAGATTGCTACCCACCCTTCCTCAAAGGGATTCGGAATACTTTTGTCGGCTCTTAACAGACTTCCCCCCAAAACCACTTGTCAGACACTTCCAGATCTGCATGCTACAGCAAGGGGGAGAAGAACCTAGGATGTGGATGGGGTTTTTGACCACAGAACCATATTTGTCATGTGTTAGCTTAGGTCTTTCTTTGAAGTATTTACTCTTCTTTATGCCTTTTAGAAATGTTGTTTATTTATGACGTAATTTTGTACGTTTGAACACGTCCCGTGTCAGAGACTGCAGCACAATCTGGAGAGTTGGCTCACTCTGTAAGCAGCTGCACCACCCCATCTGAAATGTTCTTCCACAACTCCTCAGGTTGTGCAAAGTGTGACAGTTTTGCCCCAGGGTTCTCTGGGAAGCTTCAAGGCTTCCTGAGGTGCAGCCCTATTGGCACTCCTCAAAATGCCTTAAGTCACTACTTGAGTTGCTGATGCTGTTGGACTGGCTTTGCAGTTGGCTAGAGTAACTTGGTTGAAAGATCTGGACTTCCCCTGCAGCATGCGTGTGACATCCCTTAATGCAAGTAGGACCACTTCAACTAAAATTCCTAAACAATATCACACTTCCCTCTAGCACCTTGTGTGCAAGCCATGTCTCACACTGCCTTCTCCAACATAGTGTCCTCCAGATGTTGGCATTTAAATTTGTAGAACTCTGCAATTCTGGGAACTTTGCTCCCAGCTTATCTAGGTGATCCCACTTTGGAAAGGAATCTAGATAGACCATCACATATGATGGTTTCCCAGCACATACAACCATACACATACACATACACACATATCCCAAATTATACAGCAAGTAGACATCCAAGGACTTAATTAAGGGATTAATTTGTATCTACTCTGGCAAAAATTTCCAGACCATTCCCATGTAGATTGGCCCAGAAACGTAGAATAGTGTCAGAAGGTGGAGAGGCATTTGAGGATATGGATAGAGAGAGAGATAAACAGAGTGATGAGATATTCATATGTTAAGAATGAATTAATATGAGAATTTCTCAATGTGTGTGTGTGATTGGTTTTACCTTTTCTGTTTTTGCTCTGCAGGATGTAGGCATTTCTCCAACCCAACGAGATGAAGTGATTCAGTGGCTGGCCAAACTCAGATGCCAGTTCCACCTTTACCCAGAAACGCTGTCTCTAGCCGTCAGCCTCTTGGACAGGTTTTTAGCTGCTGTGAAGGTAACAGTTTGACCTCTAAGATCTTTGGAAGGGTTGATCATTGGGGCCCTCCATCCCAGCTGAGCAAAGCCTTTTTGTATGAAATCTTCCATCTGCTGTTCACCTGGACCCTTGATGTTTGACTTACTCTGCTGTGGAGACCACAGGGAGATGTCCTGAGCATCTCTGTGAGCACTGTGGGCTGAAGGCGATGATCTTCTCTTTCATGTTTATTGGCTGGAACCGAGCAATTTTCATTGCTCTGCCTGCCCTGGTGTTTTCTCAATTCCAAAGGCTCATTTGAAGAGGCCCAGAGTGTTAATGTTATGGGCATAACAGGATTTGTTGCTGCTGATTGGTCTTTAAATGCAAAGTTGAAGTTTATATTTGTGGTGAGAAAAAGAACTGGGAACAACACTTTTCCACTTTTTCGACCAAAATAATCTGTTGCTTAGGATAGGATACCATGATCATTTGGGACTGCTTCCATTTCCATTTTTGGGATCTAATTTCTTGCCTGGAATTAATGTCCACCAAGAAAAACATATTTCCCTTGCTCAGCCTTGTTTGAATATGGGAAGGAAGAAGGTGAAGTATTCCCTGTTGGCCAGGCTAAATTAAGCCTCCAACAGAAATTAAAGATGGAATATTATGCCAGCTTTCCTGGGAGCAAAGTCTTATTGAACACAGTACTTATTTTTGGAGGAACATATAGAACAGCCTTCCCCAATCTGGTGCCTTTCAGAAGTATTGAAATTTTCTTCCCATAATTCCCACCCAGCCGAATCAATTACTGGGAATTATGGGGCTGAAATCCAGCACACCGAAAGGCACCAGATTGGAGAAAACTGGAATGTAGCATTATGCTGTTGTTACCATCTTCTTCTGTTACTGGAATTATATCTGGGATTCTTCAACAAATGGAAGTTGAATAAATTCTGTCCAAGTCCAGCAACTTGTAGGGAAGTTAGAAGGTTCTGAATATAATTTTTGCATTAACTAAATGCCCCATGTGGTGGGGTGGTGGTGGGAGAAGTAGGGCATTTAGAGGGTGAGGTTTTGCAGCAATGGCCAGATCAAATTCTAGGAAAATCTTATTTACCTTGTGGTTTTTTTCCCCATAGAGGGTTAGAAAAGGCCACCAAATTTAATAAAGTTTAACAATATAACTCATAGTAGGCGTAACATTCCCATTGCCATATACTTTTCAGCAAGGTGTGAAGACAAACCCTTAGTTTGTTGTTTGTTTGCCTCTATTATTTTTGTCCTAAATTATGTTACCAGAAGAAATACCCCCCCCCCCAATTTCTGTTAATACCACAGATAATTTTATAAACCTCTTACTGTCTTTGGAACATTATACAGCTGAGTATGAGAGACCAATATTACTCAGCATAGAAATGTCAATTTATAAAGCTCTACAAAGAGAGAATTTAATAGGAATGCAAACCTTTTTCCAGTTGCTTAACCCTGAAATCTGTCTCATTTTTAGCAGTCATAATGTTCTTTTAATGCTCTTTTCTTAAGCCTTGTGTACTCTACAGCTTGGGGCTTTACCATCTGGCCTGAATTAGTCGCTGAATAGTTTCCAGCTATGGATGGAGTTTTGCTTACTCAAAATCTCCCTCATTTTTCCTCTCCTCCTCTAAACAATTCTACAGTCCCTTTCCTCATAGCAGTTTATGTTTTAGACGGCACAGCTCTGACTTTGGTGGATAGAACTCTGGGATTCTTGTATTTGGAGTGGTTTCCCTTTCTCCTCCTGGAAGGAAATGAAGACTTAGTTGCAACTAACACCCTGGTGTTGAGGGATCTGAGAATAACAGAGGAAGGGAATGCTCTCAGCCTAAGACAGTGGAAGCAAACCTTTTGGGGCACATGTCTCTTGAATTAGATTCAGTATGTGTCCTTCAGCAGATAGAATTCATGTTTCACCTGGAATTGTCTTCTTAGCAACATTTCCACACCATCAAGTGAAGATGGGTGATATGTCTAGAACTGTGAGGCTGTTGGGTTTACTTGATAAAGAGCAAGTTCTCACGTTTGAGCCTATAGATGCAGATCCATCCATTCCTGCTTGCCTGCTTTAGTGGATATTGGGAGCCAGAATCCATCCCTGAATTCTTGGCAGAGAATCAGAAGCAGTCTTACCTCCTTCTATTTTTCGGTGGCTTCCAGCACTCTTGGTGTAGATTGCAGAAGCTGAAGGCACCAGTTTTGCCCTCAAAATGGGTTGAAAGATTTGATCCCACCTGCAGAAACAATGCTAGGGTGGCCCCATAGAGACCATGAATTACCCATTCTGCTTGATTAGGAATAAGACGGGTTGCATAGGTATTCCAGAACAAGGCCTGTGCTTGACTTGTGAGTCATGTGCCAGGAGCTGCGTACCAGAAAGCATTGGGTGGGGCCAGGAAAAATAATTACAACAGTTTGTTTACATTTAAATTTAATTCAATTTAAATAGAATGAAGATGATGACTCTTTAATTATGCATTTCACAATTCTCCCATCATATTAAAAATTAGAATTTGGTAATTAGTTTTGCAGTTGTGCTGGAGGTTGCATCAAGGAGTTTCATATTTATTTACTTACTTACTTATTTGCTACAGTTTACATGCCACGCAATCCACAAGGCTCAAAGTGGCTTACAACACCAACAATAAAACTCCATTAATAGAAGCCATCATACCCAGCAAGAGTACCTGAGGAACAGCTGCAACCTCCAGTCCCATAGCAGGGGGGTCCCTCTCATCATCAGTCTGTTCCAGGGCTCTCCAGAAAAGCCAGGTTTTAATGGCTCCCCACCCCCCATGAGTAGGGTGGGAGCCAACATAATCTCAAGGGAGACAGTGACTGAGAACCCAAGAATCTCTCATTGACCACCTGTATGACAAAGAGCTGGAGTTTGGCCCAAATTGGGGAAATTGATCAGTGGGCCATTTGGATTTCGACATCTCCCCCCCTTCCCCTTTGCCCTATAATTTGGAATATACTGTGATCTGTCTCAAGATTCATTCTCTAGTAAGAGAGAGGTGCAAAATGCCAGCCAAGTCTCCGATTGCATTTTATGCAGTTCGGCACCCGCTGCACTCTATTTAACCTCCTTTATTGATTTTTTTCCTCTGTGAATCTTCTCATTGAGCCTCTCCCTCCCTCCCCTCTAAAGATGTTGAGACTTGCTGGGTGCCAATTATGCTAATAGACTTGGTGGATTCCAGGTTGGCTTATCATAATGGAATATTGATTGTCTTGTCCCCCCTCCCCCTTTACTATGGCTTTCTGAAAACCACTGCAAAGGAGGAGAATAGTGAACCTACAGACTGGGATAACCAATGCTTGGCATTCAGTTTTCTTGAAGAGTGGTTGGAGGTATCCTTTCTGAGATTGTACTACTTTCTTCTTTCCACCTCATAGGCCCGTCCGAAGTATCTGAACTGTATTGCAATCAGCTGCTTCTTCCTTGCCACCAAGACCATTGAGGAAGATGAGGTAAGCCTTCTACTCAATGCCTTGGAATTATAATGGCCACTGCTGTTTGCTGACATTGGAGTGAGCGGGAATTTGCTTCCACTGCCGTGTGAAGCAGGATGGAGGGCTTGTATCTCTTCGGATCATTGGCCTTGTACATCTGCCCCGTACTGGGCTGATGCTGGCTCAGTTAGCAAATCAAGGAAGCAGCTTCTCTTTTTCTGCCTCTCCTAGATGGTTGAGGGACCACCTAGGTCCAAAGCATCGTCAGGCCACCCAGAGCAGAACTGCTGTGGCAGGAATGACTTTGGGCAAAATCTGGAGAAGGTTTTGTTGAGGTTTCCAATTAACTCTCTCCAAAATGTGCAGGCAAGCGAAGGCTGCTTTTGCTAGACCACCCATGGTGCTGCTTATCTGAGCAGAGATTGGAGCGGGGGGGGGTTCCAGTAGGCTGCACGAAGGAGAACTGAAACTCCCCAAACCTGTAGTTCTCCCCATCACAGTGGGGACGGTGTGGAGAGAGCTTCCTTGCCCTGTAGCTTGGAGCAACATCAGACTGCTGGCGCAGCTAACCAGATGCAAGATACGTCTCCTATTTCTGCTAATAGTAATACTTGCTTACTAAAACATTTCGACTTTGCTCTTTATTACACACTCTTTATTACTTTGCTCTCTATTACATTTATTAAAGATTGGGGCACGATGCACGGTTTGCTACTGCAGAAGTCATCGTATTTCTTTTTTAATTAGATCATTTCAACTTTGCTTGTCAGCTGAAACGGGCTCTGGCGCTGCTTTTAAAGACGGGGGGAATTTACAGTGGCAGGCAGATACCTTGTGATCTGTAAGGTATATTTGCTGCCAAATATGATTGTTGTTATTATTTAATTAAAGCATTTTTGCCTAGCTGTTTACCTGAAAGATGTTCTCAGAGCAGCTGATAGAGAGTGGTTGGATAATTGGGAATTACTAATAATTTGATAAACCGTTTTCTGCACATTGTAGCTGGGAGATGTTTTTGTCTGATTAGTAATCAGGTCTGCAGCCCTGGCTGATTATGGCTGATTTCCAAAAGCGGAAGCCGAGTTCTTAGTACTTGGACAGGAGATCACTAAGAGATCCCAAGACTGTAAATGACACTGAGAAGTGGGGGGGGCAGGGGGGGGAAAGCATATTGGAAGAAGGCAGAGGCAAATTACTTCAGTATTTTTAAAAGAAGTAAAACAAATTGGTACTAAAATTGAATGAATAAGACTGACTAAATAGAGGTGCCTTCATGGGCCTTGGTGGTGGTAGAGCAACTGGAATTCCCAAGAAAAGGTCTCCATCCTTGGGAACAGTGCAGGAGAGGACACAGATCAGTGAGCCTCTGACAACAGGGGCATCTTCAGAAGGTCTTCTGCCAGCCTGGAAGCCTGCAGAGGCTTATAATGGGAGAAATGTTTCTTAGGAAGTCAAGTATATGGCTTTAAAAGTCAATACCAACACCTTAAATTTTGCCAGTACTGACCTTTCAGTACAGGCATTATCTGGGCCCGCTACTTTTAAAAAAAATTTACTTATTCACAAATCTCTCCATACTGCCCTGCTGCCAAGACACTGATTTTGCCTAAATTTGGGGCAGGGACAGGGGAAGACATTGCCCCCAAAGCTCAGTTAGTCCAAACAGTTACCAGGGTTGATGGTATCAGAAGCCGACTCACATTCCCCCCGCCCAAGTCCAGCCTGGCTTGTCCATTGAAGAAAGCAGAACTTTTGATGGTAGCGTAAAGATTCCCTGCAGGATCTTGCTGCTTTCATCATACCTCCTTGCCACCTTCTTCATCAGCTTCCCCAGAAATGGAAGGCTTGAATCAAGCTACACTGGAACATACGTCCTGAATCAAAGATGGGCCTTACTGTTGCCTTCATTCGGTGGAGGACATGTTCTATCCAGAAAGAGACATTCATAATCTCCCTTGATCAAGCCTGGATTACTACATTTTGAATTAAAAGTAATGCCTCCACCTCCATAACTTTATTTTTGTTAAGGATATTTTAATAAATGAAACAGGGAGATAACCCTTGAAATGAGCTCCTTGGTTACTTATATTTACTTCTACACAGGACCATCACCATTTGCTACACGCTTAAGCCAACAATGGACAAACTTCTTAAAGCCATCCCAAAAGAGCTCAACGCTTTGTCTCTTCAACTAGGACCGTTCTTCCTCTTCTGCCCCTTTGAAACAACGATTAAGCAGAGTTCAGAAGCACAAAAAGAAACTTTTGCTGCAACATGACAGTGTTAGGCCTCATGAGCCACCCAAGAAGGAATTGCAAAGTTGGGTCTCACCCATTACCCCACCAGACATGGTGCTGTGCAACTGCCACCCTTTCCCAAAATTGAAGGAATAACTTTGTGGGCATCTGTTTGACTCGAATGAAGATATGGAAAAGACTACCAAGACCTGGTTGAAGAGAGAAAGTGTGGAGTTCTTTCGTGATGGTTTTAAAAAGATTCTTGGCAGTATGTTTTAGCAAGTGGTGGTGATTATGTGGAGAAGTAAATAGGGGTAACCAAATAAGATTATTTTCCTGTTTCATTGATTAAAATATCTCTATTTAAACTAAAGTTATGGACATGAGGCATTACTTTTTATTCAACCCTCATATAACCTGCCAGGGAGAAGTTAGGAGGTGGCTAGTGTACTACCACCTAAAGGTTGTCCTGGTTGGGGAATGTAGTTGAACAACTTTCCTCAGTTATCTGCTGAGTGTTTCTTGAAGGTTGATCTCATCCCTGTTTCTTTCTCGGCTTCGATCCTGCAGAGGATTCCAGTACTGAAGATATTGGCCAGAGACAGTTTTTGTGGCTGTTCTCCAGCGGAGATTCGCAGAATGGAGAAGATTATTCTGGATAAATTGAACTGGGATCTTCACACAGCCACTCCATTGGATTTCCTTCACATTGTAAATATTTGGAACAAAAGCTATTCTACTGCTATGCATTTCTCAGCTGGAAGATGTGAGAAAGATGGCTGGTCCCACTCCCTTAGTTGCCCTTCAGGATACCAAGTGTTAAGACTAGGCGGGTGGGGTAACACACATCATTGTGCTAAATTCTAGTGTATGTGTTCAAATGCATTTTTCATTTAACTTGTACTTTTGAGATTAGGGCCCATTACACCGAGTTGCAATAGCAGGGCAGGAACGTATCTCAGAAATGTCCTCTCTTTGATATAAATTCAGAACAATTTCTGAATATAGATATAAATTTCAGAAGAATAGAAATTAGGGCACACCTTGGCAATAAATCTAGAACAATTTCAAATTCTTTTCAACTGTTGTGACAACCATCTGCAAGAGTTGCACGGAGCACTCTGAGAATTGTGTGTTTGTATGTGTGAAGTGGCAACCTCTTCCCCAAATGGCACTTGCCAGATTTCTCCCACTAAACTGGTTTCAGGCTGCCCTCAGAGTAGGTATCTCATGCCTCCTTTTGAGCCACTTTCTTAAGGCTGCTCTTTCCCAGTTTAACCTTTATTTAATTATGGTCAATGACTGGCAAAATAAATTTTAAAAACTCTCAGAAACAGCGGCCAAGTTCAATTAAGACAATATACCTGTCATACAAAACCTAAAAAATTAAGACTGAAAAGCTAGAGAAAGGGGAGAATTGAATAAAATGCAAGCTAAAACAGAAAGTAAAATAAAAGTGGAAGAATACAGTAAAACAAAAGAAAAAATAAACATTATTATTATTATTATTATTATTATTATTATTAATTA